CCATGTAGGCCTTTAAAGGTCATAACCAGCCCCTTGAACTGGTGCACAAAGGAGAGGTGTAATGTGTGTCCTCTTGGGGGCACATGTAACTGCCCGGGCTGCTGCGTTTTGCACCAGCTGAAGCTTCTGGATACTCTTCCAGGGCAGCCCCACGTAAAGCGCATTACAATAGTCCATACGGGAGGTGACCAGGGCATGAGTAACTGTGAGCAGAGCTTCATGATCCAGGAACAGGCGCAACTGGCACACAACAGGAAGTTGCACAAAGGCCCTCCTGGCCATGACTGACACCTGCTCCTCCAGCAGGAGTTGTGAGTCCAGGAGGACCCCAGATTGCAAACTGCAGTGACACCCCATCCAGCACCAAAGATTGTAGAGTCCCAGATCCGGAAGGCCCTAAAACCCAAAGCCACTCAGTTTTGCCAGGGTTAAGCTGAAGCCTGTTGTTCCCCATCCAGACCCCTAAAGCCTCCAGGTAACAGGACAGGACACCCACAGCACCGCTTAATTCGCAAGGGGCAGAAAGATATAATTGAATATCATCAGCATACTGATGATACCTCATCCCATGGGGACAGGTGATCTCCCCCAGCGGTTTCATGTAGATGTTAAACAGGAGTGGAGAGCACCAAACCCTGTGGCACCCCATGTAGTAGGGGCCAAGGGCAGGATCCTTCACTTCCATCCAGTAACTCAGCAACCTTTGCAGCAGCCCTGTTATGTCATCCTCATGCCAGGGGTGAAGGGACATCCCACACTGGAAGACACCCTAATCCCCAATCAGGAAGATGCCGTCTGACACACCTTAAGGATTTTCACCACAACTTTCTCATTGTTAGTGATGTTGATGGCTTCAAAGACTTCACTGTATTTGCCACGACCGAGTTTCCGCACAAGTTGGTAGTCATCTTGGTTACTGTCGAAATGAAGGAGGAGAGAGGGGACAAAATTCAGCTGACGGACACTCCCTTTCCAGAAGGCCGGGCCCCTGTATGGCTGCCCACTTGCCCACTTGCCCAGGGCTTGTCCAGACCAGCCAGTGGCCCAACCTGCATTCTTTTTTCTT